AAATTAGAATTCCTAGTATCTACAGAGTATGGTGCCTAAAAGGGGTCTCTAGAGCACTAAATGAAGCAGTAATTAAAAAGGGCTCATGTATCTCTCGTTTCAAATCCTACATTATCTGAGTCTAGGTGTTGATATAGGAAGCTGCACACTTATATCCTGTAAGCAGTTTAATACCATTGGGCACTTCCAAGTAAAATTTCTTTAGTTAGTAGTGGTATAGTAAAGACACCTATCAATATAAAATAAAAACACATATTTAACAATGCTGCCAAACGTACAGCTTTGGGGTTAGCTACTAAGCTGAAAGTGTCTAAGTAATCGACTCAGTATAGTTGCGTGTAACCTTTAGCACGAATGCAGCTCTTGTAATCAATGGCGCCAACACCATTACTTTATACCTTGAAGATGCAAGTTGCAGTCTTTTTTTAACTTTCAGTCGTAGAATAGCAGGTATTTAAGTTCAGCTTTTCTAATAATAATCAAGTTCACGCTGGATAAATTTATTTATAATCTTTATCTGTCTTCTCCAGGGCTTTACATATGTTTTAGATTTCAGTAACTCCTGGGCATGGGCAGTAAGGTTATAGAATAAGAGCGCAGTATTAAAGATACTCTGGGTTTTATCCTCACGTTTAGTTGGTTTTTTTAAGACTTTTTATACATCGGTTCGACGCGCCGTGTTTTGGCCCCTTAACTGTAGATGGAATTGAGTTTTTGGAGGGCAGTATTGAATGCAGCTACATTTATTTAAGTTTAATGTCCGCAGTAGGGACGCATCCTCGGAGGGTGGACGTCGCTAATGTAGGTGCATCCTCAGCGCTGGGTTTTACTGTAACCAATGCAATCGCTTTTATGGGCGGTATTCAGCGTATTTCGTAAACAACGGGCTCACTCATCGTATATTATATCTCTACCTTTAGTTTTCTTAAAGCTTTAGGATTTTCGGATTTTGCAGCGGGGTACAAACCAATGGAAAATCTATTAACGCTTTAAGCTCCAAGCTTTCACTTCGTAGCATAAATAATAAATATATTTACATTCGAATTAATATAAACGTTCCAAGCCGGTTTTTAAGTGTGTTATGTAAGCAGTATAGTGCGTGGTGTGACTGAAGGAACTTTGTACTGTATTATAAAGCGTCCACCCCGCAGTTGCAAAGGTGGAGCGGAAACATAAACCATATCACGCTGCGGAGTTTGCTCAGATTATAGATAGTGGCGATGTCTTTACTGATAACTTTGCCAGGTCCTCGAAAGAAAAATTATACTGGCATTATCGTGGTGCGCTTATTTCAATGATTTTGTAGTTCTCAACGCGTTTTGTGCTCAAATTTTATTAAACTTGTAAAGGTTTTAGACGATAAATTTGCTTTAAAGTATGTTCAAGGCGGCGGTTCCATAGGACTAAGGGAGGCGTCGCTTTGTAATTAACTATTTATATAAGTCCCCTTAGACGTTTTTTTTCTAATGGGTACTTTTAAACCATTAATGCTTTTGGAATCCAGTGCTAGAAAAACGAGCTCTCGAAACTTCTTACCAAAATTTCATAGTCGGCAGTTTCCTTGAAGTTGAGCTGATCTTAAGTAATTCGGACACTTTGTACGAGAGCACCTCAGAAAGCTCCTTCCTTTTTTCATGCCCTCTCTTCTCCCGTTAGCGAGAAGCTCAATAAGAAATAACCGTAGCAGCGCCCTAAAAAGAGGGTTTAACTTAGCAGCAGAGAGATATAAATGACGTTGGAGTATTCGCCGAGTAGATTGTTTGAAATGAAAATCATGTCCTTGTCACTGATAAATTTCTCATCGGACGTTGTAAATAATACCATTTATCTTCACAGCGTTTATGTATTCCTGTATTCTCGGGTAGGCGAAAAGGCTTAAGATGTACAATTTATGTTTGAAGTAGAATCAACATTCGGTCGACGTTTCCATACTTAAAGAGAAGTGACTCCCATGCTTTTCATGGATAGCAGTGTGCATACGTGACCCTTTAGCCCAAGGGAGAACGTAAGGAGGCTGGCAGTACGGGCTCACTGTTGTTCAAGAAAAGGTTAAAGTTAGCTGTTTGGGGTTCCTCTATTTTGTTACGACTTAATAACTTATTAAAAGTGAGACCACCTCCTTTAGATAAGCGTACACATTTAGAGCAGTTACGAGGGCCAGTGCAAGGAGCCTTGTCTTCCTGGCTGGAATATCTTGTGTTTGTATTCACGTACTTTCGGGTTTGTATAATGCTTTAGGATCACTTATTTGCCAGAAAAACTTAACAGTGCTTTCTCAGAAAACGATCGAGCGTAGAAACAAAAAATCACAACTTGAGAAAGAGGACCTTCGATATGAATATTTCTCTGGGGCAATGAATTGTAAAAACACCAGCAACAGAGAAGGCGAGAACAAAATAGTACGGAAGTTAGTTTTATAAAAGCAATCAAACCACTTATACACTGCAATAGGATATATATATCATTTCAATTTATGGATATTCGTTTAGATTTTTTAAATTATAAAAAAAACATTAATTTTTTTTTTCCATTCAAAGACTAGTTAGAGTCTGTAATAGTCATATTTGTATTAAACAATATTTTGTTAATATAGTCTGCCATAACCCTCAAATTTTGTTCCTTACTAATAGCAGTTTTAATGATATTTTTTGAGTGGCATGTGTGCGTTGCTTGAGTTTACGTTAATGTTTTGTGTATAACTCTCAATGTTGTGCACTATAAATCTCAAGGAGAAAGAAGAGGATTGGCATTGAATAAGGGAAAATATCGTCACATGGCATAATTACCACGTAGTATGACCACGAAATATATTAAACCTTAATGGGTTAATAATGTAAAACCATCTTAACGGGATTGGGAGTTGGGTCGTACGTTCAATTCCTAAAGAGCGACTCTCTCTTTCGGTCTTGTGTGGTTACGTTAATAACTTGCCTTCAAAATTCTACGCTATAAGTACGAACTTTAAAAACATGTATATAACTTTTAACACTGTAAAAACAACTATACTGATAAGCGACGCTTAAAATGGAGTGATCACGACAAATTTCAAAAAGAGATAAGTGCAGTTAAAGGATAAGTAGCAGGCGGAAATCGAACCTACTACCTTGGGTATGCGCTTTATCCATGCTCTTACTGCTGAGTTACGACGACCAACACTCACCCCCAGCGTGATGGCTTTACGTGTAAAACCTTTTAAACTTTAACACAAATAACCCTTTAAGTTTATAGACATGGTTTATTTTTTTTTTGGAATGGTATTTTAGCACTATATGAGGTATTTTCAACTATATTTATTATCTTTATCACTTGGAAGGAGAACAAATAAATTGTAAACTTTCATATAAAATAAAATTGATAAAATGGGTTCGAATTTAAAAATAAAATTTAAATGAAACTTTTATTAAATTTAATTGAAATTTTAAAAAAATTATATAAAATTTTAAAAATTGCTAAACAGTTACTAATTCATACTTTAAATTTAAAAAACCGATGAAATGAATTCTAATATTTTAATGAAAAATTAGTTGAATCTTCAGGTTTCCGCCAATTAATTTCTTTACTTAAATTAATATTATTTGGGGCAGGTGCAATTTTTAATTTATTTGTAATTGCATTTTTGTTTTAAAAGCTTAAATAGTTATTAAATAATTATTCAAGGCTGTTACCTTTTTAATAGAGTCGATTTCGCTTAGTTCTTCTAAATTTGAAATTCCTTTTTTTCTATTTACAATTTCTAACTCTTATTTTTAATGGACAGCTTTGAATTAGTTATGTCTTATTAACTCCATTTCTTGTTCTAAGCTCTATTAATTTTATTTATTTGTTTCTTCTATTTTATTATTATTAGCTTTTTTAGAGTTTAATCGTGGGCATTTACTATCTCTAGAAAAACAATATGTATATGTTGATTTATTTCACCATCTTCCGTATTATTTTACCTCACTGAGTTTGCTTTTACTAATGAAACTAGATGCCTTTATTAATAGTTCACTGTACCGCCCTAAAGTAAGCCTTCCTTTAATAAAAACTCTACTTCCATATATGTATAACCGCTAGTAAAAAACTTTATCATAGAAGGAAAGATTGAAAAAAATAGTATAAGTTGCGTTTGTAGTCGTACACTCGCACTAAAAAAATGGAATATATATCTTAGCTTTAACTATATTTTATCACAATTTTTATTATTGTATAAACACAACTATATGAAGCTTTAGGTTCTAAAATAATTCTAAAAAAAAGCCGTAAGTTGCACTCTTTAAAAACTTTTTAAGTGAATCACTTTTTAACAAAGTTTTAAGAGCAATATTACACGAAACAATGTTATGGACTTAGAAAAAAGTTTATTATTTTTTAATAAAAAGAAATAAGTAAGTTATAAAGAATATAGCTTTAGGTAAATTAAACTAAATTTATAATTATATATTTCAAAAATAACAGTAATATATTAAAAATACATATAAGTTAAATAATAATATAAAAAAATAACCAATAATAATAGTAAATCAAAACCTGTACCCCTTATATTTGCAATATCAACGAATTCTAATAGAAAATAACTGTTTATGGTCTACCATAAATAGATTACTTACAAAATTTGATGTTTATTATTATTTTGAAATGCTTCAGTTCCTCCTTCCGCTTTGATTTTTTTAATAAAATATTGCCATTGTTTAATAATTTTTTTTTTAAAATATTTTTATTCTCCTACATAATGCAAGACCTTCATAAATCTTTAATATATTTTATTTTTCTAATCCTCACGATCTTTGTAAAAAAATGTAATAGTTTAGACTAATAAAATAATTTTTGGGCATTTTTTAAAATTATTTATTTTTCCAATTGGTCAGTGCGGAAATCAGCAAATATTAGTTTTTTGTATCTGTATCCTGTTATTTTTTGGATTACACCGGGGATGAGAAAAAATATTTTTTATATATACATAATTAAAAAGTTTGCGTACTAGATGACATATAAAAGAGCGTCTTCAATTTTAGTAAAGTTGACGGCATTCGGGACTTGTGGGACTATTATTTACGCTGCAACAGATAAAAAATTTAGAAGACAACTACACTTTTGGTACCTTTCCGGTAATTTTTATTTTTTTGTTAACAAACAATTTAACTTCTACTTAATTTTTGTATTAAGCTCCTGCAGTTTTTGACTAAACTTATACTCATCTTTTGACTCGAAGTTTACCCGCTTCTGAAAGAGAAAAAGTTTTTGCTGAGCTACACCGCAAATATGCACCGGTTACTCTCAATATTATTATAACGTTAAAAAGATTGTTTGTAAAATTTGTGCAAGTTTGTAGTGTGAGGTACTTATAATTATTATAGATCTTGAAACAATTTAATCGTTCTTTATAGAAGTTGTAGAATTATTATCGCATTTTCAATAGGCCTGAATTTGTACCAAAAGAATATAGAGATAAATTTCGACTTTGCCAGTCAAACGTTCCCAGAGTATCCGACTTTAACATAATTAAAAGAGTAATATTGGAAGACTTTGCTGTAGATTTAATAAAAAGTTTATTTTTATATTTACATTTATATCGTTATTTAATTTTTTTTAAAAAAAGACGTTTCCTGAACTTCAAGAAGAATCTTTAGGCTGTGCCAGCGTGGGGCAAGCACACTTTGGAATTTTAAATAACAGAGACAAAGTTATTGTAAAAGTTCAACATCCAGATGTGGAAGCTCTATTTAAGTATGTATAAATTTTTTTCTAAGACGTAAAAAAAAAAATTTATGGATTTGGGGAGTTGGGTTCTTTTAAATTTAGTGATTCTAATTTCTTTTAAGCGCTCATCTTTTTTCGTTGAAGATTTTAACTAAATTGGCAGCACCTGACGCGCTGCCCGCCTTCAAAGAACTGGTGAGGCAATTAAAGCAAGAACTGGATTTTCTCAAAGAAGTTGAAAGTTTGGAGAAAATTTATAGGCACATAACGCCAAAGTACGGCAAATATGGGGAGGTTCCACGCGTTTATAAAGAATTTTGCTCGAAAAGAGTAATAACAATGTCGTACTTGGAAGGTGGAAAGCTTGATAAAGTTATGCTCGACTGGCTAAATTTTTTTAAGGCGGATGTGAATAATTTAGCTAATATTTATTTTAATATGGAAGGAAAAAAATTAGATGTACGCCCAATTTTAGTCTCGGATTATAAAGGTTTTTGAAGTGTACTTCAGAATATGTTCTGTATAATTTTTTTTTATTGCAGAAAGTTCAAAGGATGGCGATGCGATTGTAGACTTAGGTAGAGATGCAAATTCTCAGAAAATTTTTCTTACTGACTTCCTACATAATTTTTTTACTACACAGTTTTTTAAAAAAAGTATAACTTTTTTTAGAACAGATCGTATGTTGTTTCTATTACGTGTGTATGAACAGTTTCATGTAAAAATAATACAGATTGTTATCGGTTTTTTCTCAGTGCTAAGCAATTTCGGTTTACTAGGAAATCCGCTATAGATTGATTAAAAGTTAAGCAGGCGGAATATCAAAAATCATTAGTGATGGAAAACATTGCAAAAAATTTGTATATATTGTTTTCCGTGCACGGAGCGGAAGTTTTTGAGGCGGGCTTATTTAATTCTGATCCGCATCCAGGCAACATTATTTACTTGCATAAAAGCAATAAAATTGGATTAATAGATTATAGCCAGTGCAAGGCGGTCGATAGAGATTTTCAGTATAAATTTGCTAAATTATTAATTTTTATTGAAGAAAAGCAACACAACGAAACGATTGCGGCTGTTTGCGAAGATCTTGGCCTTCGAACAAAAAATAATTCTTCTTTTATTTTAGCATCTTTTGCTAAAATGATGTTTTCGAAACTGGAACCCCAATTTTTAGATCCATCATTTCAGTTAGATCTTCTTAAGAGGGATAAGATAACTTTTCCCCCCTTCGAATTAGTAATGGTTGCTAGATTAGCAGCGTTACTGAGGGGTCTTTCACTGACACTTGGTTATAACATTTCTGCTTCGGAGCAATGGCTTCCCTTTGCTAGAAAAATAGTAGATGCACAATAAATTGCTCCAATTTTTTTTTAGATATTTTTTTGTATGGTTTTATTATACTAATTATCCTTTAAAATCTAATTATAAATCAATTGTAACAGTATTAATTATAATATTGATAATTTATAAACGCTGCCATATATACTTTTTAGTAAACAAAGTAATATATTATTAGCTTGTCACTCTCTTTGCTTTACTTTTATATATTAGCTTGTTTAAAATCTTTTTTATCTAGGGTTTTAGCGATAAAATATTTTATTAAATTAATTTTTATAACTTGACTTTGTTTAGATAAATTATAATTTTTTATCATTCTACACAAAACTAAGAAAACATACTTTTTTTTTAAGTTTTGGTAAACTTTAAGTAAAATATGTAAATAACAAGATTTTATAAAAGAATTGTTCCATTTAAGGTAAGAATAAATTTTTTTTTAAAAATTGCGGAGTCAAGGAATTAATGAAGAATTAAATTTAATATTATTTAGTTGAATACAATTTTATTATTAAAAAATTTCTCGGCGTAAACTAATTAAAACAATCTGTCCCACAAACATACCAAAAGTATCTAGAGAAATAAATTTTTTATCTCAATTGGTAAAAATATAAATTAAAAACTAATTATTATAGACATATAAAATTTTAACATCTGCTTTATTTATTTTTATAATTTATACAAGTTTAGCTCAATGAAGTGTAACTTTTACGACTAAATTTCACTTCTAAGCAAAAATTTCAGTAAAAAATTCGTCATAATAACATTTTTTGAATGCAAATTTATATAACTTAATAAGCACAATTAATCATTTTCTTTCAGTTAAAAGACAATCCAATAAATAAGCGCGAGTGGCATCCGCTTTATGCTTAAAATCATTAACAATTATTCCAGCCTCGTGAACTGCTCTTAATCTTTTCTCAGAAAATAATTTCTTTATGTACTGATCGACCGTTTCAGTCCAAAATTCTTCGCCAAAAACTTGTGCATCTTTACTGTGGTTAATTTTACTTACGTGATTTTCCGCATGTAAAATTTCCGCTGCTTGGAAATCGCTAGAAATGGTGGACTCCCCTTCACTGCCTTTAGAGTGAAGCACTAATAGTGGTACGCGTTCTTCATCAATTTTAATGCCCTTATCGTTATTATTATTATTATTAGAATTCAAATATGTAGAATTCTTATTAATATTGTGGTCTTGGTCCAAATCAATTTCAAAATTTTTTTTAGTTCTTTTAGCTAGCGATAAATGCTCTTCGGTGATCGCAGCTAAACGCTTTGAAGGCTTTTCCAAGCCAGCAGCACTTTTTTTATTACCCTAAAATCATAATTAAGCAAATTTAAAATTGATTTAAAATTTTATGCAAAGTAACTATATCTTTAACAAATTCGACTGCAAAGGGGCATTCAGGGGAACGTTTGTAATGCTCAACCCTAAAATTTGTATTTTTAGTATTATTAAAAAAAAAAAATGCTAAAGTAACCAAGGAATGTCGCTCTCTTCCCAAAAATTTAGAGAAACTCCGCACATAAAACACTCGCAAGTATCATCTAAAATTAGTAGATTTTTAATAAGAACATTTATAATAATAAGCAAATTTTGATTTAAATTATTTAAAATAATTTACCTAACTTTTTAGAACTATTCGTTTTGTAAAATCCATGCCTCGCTAGCTATAAATAAAAAAAATCTCTAAAAATTACTTAAGCTTAGTAAAAGGAAATTATGTACATCTTCAGGAAGTGCTTTATAAGGAGCTTTATGAGGCCACGAAGAAAAAGTTAACAATCTACCACCCGCGAAAAGATATATAAAAATAAAGTAAAGTAAATTTAAATTAAATTATTACCGGTTTTTTAAAAGTGATTTTACAGTAAATGGGCACGAAGGGGATATTTTTTTATGTTTTGCTCTAAAAAAGAAAATAAGTTTATAGCATGTAAACGTTTTTAAAGTTTCTGTACAAAGGATCTTCAGTTTCTTTCCACACGTCATCGCCTTTTCCACAAACAAAGCATATAGCAGTTGAAAGCTTGGTACGGGGAGGATGAAAAAATCCGGCTTTGGCCATCTACAATAAATATTTATATAATAAACTTACAGTAATCATTTTTATATATTTAAGAATAACTAATATATAACATTCTGTGTACAAAAACTATACGGCAATAGCGTTTGCAGCGCAGTCAATCCGGCAAACCCATTTTTTTAAAGAGGAGATCTACAAAAAAAAAAAATTTACTTAACGATGAATTTTTTTTTTTTTAAAAAAAACAGAAATACTCTTTTTGAATAACTTTTGTAAGAATCTTTGTTTTTTAAAAGCATTACAACTTTTAAAAATTTTGCTGAGTCTTTATAAATAAAAAAACGCCAGGAAGGCCGGTGTGTATTTAAAGGAACACTGAGGGAGCTTTCTTTTTTTGTGTCAAACTAAAAAGGATGGCTTCTTTGAGGGTTTTTTTTTTAAGTAATGTTTGCAGTAAAAAATGATGATAATCTTCTCTCTTTTTAAAGTTATGCAATTTCTGATAAAATATTTGCTTTATTTAAAGCTCATGCCTTATAGTTTATATAAACGCGCAAGTACCTAAGTAGGTAATACGAAATTTTATTTTGAAAAAGTTTTTGGCAGACGACTGCCTTCTTTTTTAATGTTATCATTATGTTCCTGAAGATGGCAGACGCTAACTCCAAAACTTAGAATAAACGTTACTGAATAATTTTGAAAATATACTAGTCGTAGCTCATTTGAACCAATAAAATAAAAATAAACTGAAGGTGAAAGAACGTATTATGAAGGTCAAACATACTTTTTGTAGTGTTTAGTAAAGAGTTTGATTTTGTAAAATTAAGTCATATAAACGCCGTGAGATTTCTTGTCTTAGACTACAGGCTTTTTATACTTTTCCAGAGCTTAAGTGATAGAGCACTGGAATTGTTTCATCATGCCGATAAGTAAGGCCTATTTAGTTTTGGATAAGAAAATATTTATTAAAGTATAATGTTCCGAAAATACCTAAAAAGGTAGAAAAATTGATCTTCAAAAATTGGATTTAGATTAGTTTTTAAAAAAGGGCATGCCATTAAGTTTTGTGAAGCTCCAAAATTTTATAAGCAAAATCTTTTAAAAATTATTTTGCACTAAAACTTTTCATATTTATACAATCAGAACAGATTACCAGTTTTAAAAGGTATGACGAAAAGCCATTATAAATTAATATAGAAAATAAATAGCCAAAATTAAGTGTACGATTTATTAAAGAATACGAAGTTAATAACGGACATAAACTTTAAGGCTAAGAAAAAAAAGCTCAATTGAAATATATTTTTTAAGGATATATATGAAAAATGTCAATTAATAGTAAAATATAATAAGCGGTGTTATAAAGATTTTCTTAACGTTACTGCTCTGTTATTCCTATTTTTTTTTGGGTTATAAGAAAAAAAAATTGTATTAAAGATATACATCCTTGAATGGCTAAGCGAGAGTAGAAATATAAAGGAAACAAAAAACTACTTAAAAATTTACTTTCTAGAGCTGAATTAAACAGTTCGAGTTTATCCTGATAGAATAGAAGAACACCAGAACCCAGTTTTTTTTAAAAAAATATATAATATTCTTGTGTAACACTATTGCATATCTCTCTCTACCCGGCACCATACTAGAACGTTATTATACATACAAAGTAAGCAATCTTCAGCTCACCAAAAGGAACTCTCCAAGTACCCAGCCCGACTTAGCAAAAGTAACCCAAACCCAGTCAAGCTAACCAATTAACTAGGTGGAAAGCCTCACAATTATATTTTGTCTGTAAATTTTTAAAACAACACTAGAAGAAAGATATGTGACAAAACAAGTTTACAACTTCTTCAGTAGCACGTAAAAGCCGATGCCGATAATGTTATTTAGTATGCCACTCAGTCCAGGAACATTGGATAACCATATCTTTCGTTCGCCACTATTCGCCTCTGTTAAGTTATCGTGATACAGGGAAAACTTAGTCCAAGACTACGACAGCCTCAGGATCTGCCGGCCCCAAGTAGAAAAGCACAAGGAGCAAAGGGCAAACAACAAAAGTTAGTCTATCTACAGCAGAATAATAGAGGACTTTTCTTTAAGCCGGGTTCATTCGAACAACACTATTAAAAATAAAGATAAATTGTAACCAGAGATACAACCGATGAAGGGCAAAAAGGATCTTACGCAGCTCTATTGCCTAAGCCGTTTAGCTCAAAGGTATACAAGCTGAAATCGCTGTACAAATTGTTTTGATTCTAAATTCAAGCGCTTACCGGAAAAGTGGTGGGACATAATTTTCAAAAAATGTGAACAAACGTTATTATTAATACGGCTTAGAGTAAGAAATCTTTTTTCTCAACTATTATTAAGAAAGGATCGAAGATAAATTCCTTTAATAAAGCTCTTACTGTAAAACCTTCTCTACGTGGGTTTCTAGATTATAAAAGCTTTTTTAATTACTTACCCAGACACTTTCTACCCCAAATAAACAACAGCAACAAGCTTTAAAAACTCTTTAGCCAAAATATATTTTTTAAAAATAACTCAGTGTACAAGAAAAATTTGAACTTGTAATAACTAATAAATTAAGTTTAAGTTAAGCTTCCTCGGTAGTGTTCTAACGTTAAAAAATTAGTTTAAATGAAGTATTCTATCGGGAATCTGCTTTACCCAGTTTATTAATGGGCCAGGATAAAAATATTCTAATTAGGTTGATAATTTACTATAATAGATTGTTAACAAAAGGTATGCGAAACCGATTTTCCGACTGCATAAAAAAATTATTAAAAATCCTTAATAGGCACTCGATTCGGGTGAAAAGCTAATTAATTATGACGTTTTAGGTCTTTAATCTCGTCGGAGAGACTTTATTTTAACGATGCATTAGATAATAGCAGTCATATTAAGTTTATACTTTATAACAAACTATTGTAGGGGGGTTCCTGTATATAAAACTTAAATAAGGAGGAACAACTAGTGCTTTTCTTATAACTTCCTATTATGACTTTTTTTGTGGTAGTCAAAATTTTCTCAAAAAATGCTATTACTTAAAGGGTAATTAGCTCTATAGATATGTCGGAGAATTACTACACACAAAAAGAAGTAATAATAATGTAGTTTTTTGACTAAATCAAGAACAGAATTAAAAAACAAGACCAACACTAAAACTGCTAAAACAAGCCCGGTATGTAGAAATAGCGAAGCCCCTCTGGCTTCTGTCAGTCAAGAGATTTTATTTGACTAGCAGAAGTAAAATGATACAAATATGTGCATGCTAGGTAGGCTATTTAGAGCTAATGAGATTGATAAACAAGAACCACAATAATATAATGGATATAAAATTGCCTTCTCAAAGGAAGGTCCGCTGCACAATCTGCTCTCGTTATTCGTTCCTCTTGGTCTTTACAACGTGCTGAATTTATATCTATAGTGTCGCGCCTTCAGCGTTCGCGTGGGATATACACTGTCACCGCTGTTATCTCTGACAGCAGGGATCTCTTCTTTCGCTTTTTTATTTGCAGTTAATATGAGCGACGTGCCCATACCCTCAAATCACACACACTGATCGCCTTCTACGCCGATGATACAGCCGTTTACTCATCGTCGAGGCCTTGCTATGCAAGCATCTACAGCGCTATCTTAGCGCCCTTGCTGACTGGTTTCGTAAATGGAAAGTTTCTATAAATGCGATGAAGAGCAAAGAGCTTTAATTACTATATAACATGTCACCTTGTTGGCACCTTTTAACCTTTGAGGTTATGAAGTTCCGTGGTGTCCTCAAGCGAGCTACTTGGGAGTCATCCTTAACAACAAACTTTCCTGGAAGCCGCACGTGGACTATCTAGTGGGAAAGGTCAAGGCAGCAACTAAGGCGCTTTACCCTTTGCTATGCGGGAAGAGCAAGCTTTTTCTACTAAACAAAAGGCAACTGTATAAGTCTTAGACCAGCCAATAATGGCGTACTTGTCTGCTGCCTGGACCTACGACTCCACTGCAATAGCGTCGGCACTTCAAGTGCGACAGAACAAATTGCTGCGCGTGTTGACAAGGCATCGTGTTTATGCGAAATGATGCTCTTCACTGGGTCCTTCAGCTGGACCCTTTAGACGTTGTCTTCCAACTTAATGATAATGCACTTTACGATAGGCTAGCCAGGCGCACTAAATGCCTGCTGTGAGCGACTTTTTTACGCCATAGGGTGGAGTACCTTATCACTGCCCACGTAACGCGCGTTAGCGCTAGTTTTTGTAGGAAATAGTGACACCTTTTTGGTTGAAAGCTATTTCTTAATAAGTCTGCGATTACTCTTGATTGAGAGCTCTAGTATAAGTTTTTGAATTTGAGAACCAGGAACTGTCATTTATAAATAAATAAATAAATCTCAAAAGGGGGGCCCTATAGTCGGGAAGGCCTGGCTAGCAGTGGTGCGGGCCGATGTCTTCATATGGCCTCGGGTCTTCTGTCTAAGGCATCCTACAGGTTTTGGTTTTTAGGGGTTTTCTACCCACAGGACAGAATGGCAGGAACCGGGCAGCCCGATATTTCCCTCCGTCTGATAGCTCTAAGAAGAGTCTGCACTGGTGGGCGCTCCAACCCCTGCAGAAAAGGGGGATTCAGATTAAGCAGCTTAAGACCGGCCATAGTATGCCAGTGCTAAAACAAAAAGGGAGACCCTGAACTCATCTTTATTTTTGTTTAACTTCTTACTATTCTTACAAAACTTTTCAATCTATAGATCTTAACAGTTAAGTGAATATTTCCGTTGCTCTATTAGCAATCTTTTACAGGGTGCGGTTTAGAAAATTCTTGGAAGAAAATATCGACTGACAGATAAACATGTTCTTTATGATAACAATTGATCAATAATCAGTTTGGCACCATTTATTTTAAATAACTGCAAGAAATTCTCTATCGACTGAATACAAAAGTTTTCGTATCACTACACAAACTTCCCAGCATAGTGCTTGTGTCTCATATTTAATGCAAACTAAAAACTCGTTTGACTTTTTTACCATTAT